ATGCTCTTTATCAATATACATTAGCCACTATATTTATTTTCCTTCAATAAGGATCAAGTAGTTAGTGGTACTTATACTATACTATACTTTATAATTAACCGTGTACTTGTAATACCACTCTAAGAAGTAAATACAGTAAAACATGTTAAATACATGTAAAACAGCAAAACAAAGGATTACCTGAATAAATTCAGAACACTTGTGTATTAGGAATATACAATAAAAAATTTTGATACCATTGGTCTATATTTATAAATATAAAAAATTGTTTAGAATTGTCACTGTATTTCAGTTGTAACTGGGCAAATAGCCTCCATGGACCAATTTGTTGAAAATTGGAATGCATTTTTCCAAGATTTCCCCATTACTGTGGACACTTTAAAGAATTCCCATGGAATGACACAGGCTGTTCTTAAAGTTTTCAGTAAACTTGGTATTGACAGTGATGCCATATTGCAGGCAAGTGGTAAAAGATCTATTATAGTTTATTTGAAATTGCATCACTAAATACTTTTAATTTCATTTATTTTCTTACAGCCACCACCTGAAGAGAGTCGTAATGAACACATGGTTTACTTCTGGGACTTAATACCTATAATTAACATGTCTCGTATAGTAAAATTTTTTATGCCAAAATTTGGAATAAAATTTACTTTTATTCAGTTTCTTCAACCAATTACAAAAAACACCTATAGCATTTTACTTATACTGTTCAATTTGGTACTGTTTTGTGAGCAACGCATGGAAGAGATTGCTCCTGCTGAAAGAGAATTGTTTTTGCAAAGTGAAAAGGTGAATTTTCATTATTTCAGATGTATTTCATATTAATTTCTTGACTCAAATTACACCTAACAATTATAATATTTTGAATGTTTTCAATGTAATATAATATGATAGCTGTCACTCACAACTATGGTCACATGAAATAAACAATATATATATCCAATATTATTTACTGATAGCATAGCTTTTTGACCGACATTCCAAAAGAAGGAGGTACTCAATTCATCTGTATGTTTTTTTTAATAATGACGAATTTTTGAAATTGGCCCAGTAATCCTTGAGTTATTTCAATACATAAAAAAATCCAGATCTTTCACTAGTAGAGATAGAGATTAAATAGAATAAGATAGTTGTTATATCAATTACTTTTAATACTGTTTACGCCATTTATGTGGCTGTTGCCTTTTTTCATTACCTGACCACCACTGTATATCCATTAGAAATAAAATTTAAGTAGTATTAACATATGTTTCAGGTTAAAATTTTGGAAGACAGAATAAATAAATTACAAGTTTTACTCAATGAACAGGCACATGAAAAAGCCAAAAGAGCTGAAAGATTAGAAATTGTAAGTAGGACTGCAAATATTTTACAAACCCCATTTTATTTAATGATTTGTAATCTTGTTGCAGGTCCCAGCTTTTAGTTCATTTTAGTTAATATAAAAGTATAAGTATATTAATATAAATACAAATTTCTAACATTTTGTAACAAATGTGTCTGTGAAAGTGTTGAAAAATAAATTACAAGCTGATATTTAAAAAAAATAAAATTTACAGATAGCCAGTGAACAAAAGAAGCTTGAAGAAGAATTAAAGCATGAAAAAGAGGGACATGACGCTATTAAGAAGGAGTTGGAAAAAATCTTGAATGAAAACAAACAAATGGAAATTATTTTGGAACAAAAGAAGACACACAGAGACGGTTTGATAGCTGAAGTAGAAAAGTTAAGAAGTCAGAGAGTGTACGACGCGGATGACATAAAAGCCCAGGTGGAGCAAGCAACACACAATGTGCAAGAGGCAGAAGATAAACTAACAAGCTTAAGAGCAACATTAATGCAGAAAGAGAATTGTCTCAAAAATTTGCAAGCAATAAAACCAAATCTTACTATTGCCAACAATTTGTTACATGAAATAATGACGCTCACTGATAGCTTGAAGTAAGTTATCTTTATTATGTTCATAATTAATGCTTTTTCCAATATCTCATGTAAACACATTAAATAAAAAATATTAAAATTTGTTTGCATCTAGCAATAAGAGTATCAAACACGATATTATTAAATTTTAAATATTTTTTCCTGGATAGTTAGTTTAATTGTAATTTTTACTTCAAAAACTGCATTTTGATAACTGTAATATTTTAAATAACTGCTTTAAAAATGGATATCATAGCCATAAAGTACATTTGGATAATTATTAATGTTTCAGTGACTATGATTCAGATGATTTGGAATCTGACAGTAAAGAAGGAGAGTTAAAAGTATTTAACACTGAATTAACTGAACTAGAAACTAAACTAGAGGAGCTGAGAGCAGCACGAGCAGAAGCAGCTAAGAAGAGGGAAGTAAATCAAGCGAAGAGGCAACAAGAGAAAACTGCTGCACTAACGTAATTTGCGTACTTATTTCATAAAAATATGTACAGTTGCGAAAATCCGCGGAGTTCCTCTTACAGAACAATTAACTTGTTCCTTGCAAATAGACAAACTTAGTTTTTTTTACAAATTACTAATTAAGTACCAATGAGTCAGAATAATAATAAAAATCAATTGACACTGAAAACCCTATTTCCTACAGACACATTTAAAAGCTGCGTCATATGTGTTTGTGTTCCGCGCCGTTTCGATATGTTTCTTTTAAAATGGAACAGACAGATACTCCGGTTGTACTTGTATGGGCAACATATAGGGTGTAATTGTAAATTTATGAAAAACTAATTTAAATTGATTGCAGAAATCTTCGTAAAGCAGAAGCAATGGAGAAGGAGCACAGGGAACGCGCTAAGAAAGCGATGCAAGAGATAGAAGATATTAAACAGCTTACTGTAAAATATGAATCTGAGAAATCTAAAGCAATAGAAGAACTTGCCAAATTGAAGTATACCTTTACAAGCGAGGTAACAGACTTTTTTACAATACAATCCTTATCTCTTATTTAAAAATTTGATTACTATCCCCACAAAATTTACTATATGTAGTAAAAAAACTTTATTTTATAGTATTAAATTATCAATATGCCTAAACTTTGTGAACTTCATGTATTTTATTGATGCATGAATAGACATGGTACTTGGGTTTTATACTAATTTTTGCAATCGTTTTAATGGAATCATTCAATATTATTTGTTTATTTCAGTTAAAATCAGTTGAAGATGCCATTACAAAAAAAGTAATGGAAGCACAGAAAATGATTGAAGACAAACTTCGTAATCATCGTTCTTAATGTTTTATTTGTGAACAAGAATACAAAAAACGGGGTAGGCGGCCTCCTAAATCGATTTTTATATTATAAATTTATAGTAGACCACGCCATAGACGAGACAAACTTTCACGAGAATTTCAAAATAATTAAATGCCGTATTCAATGCCTCAGTCTGAACATATTTTTAAGATAAGAAAATATTTAATAAATTTATAATAAGTATTACTATGTCACAGTTATTTTATTTAATATTACATGTCTCAATATATATTGGGGGGTCGGAGTCTGCTTTAAGTTTAGGGTGACTAGGCCAGAGTCAAAACGCGGGCCTACTGCGAGTTGGTTGACCTAACACATATCTTTGAAACTCTTTGTAAAATATATGCAGGTTTCATCACGACGTTTTAATTAATCAAGAAAATTATGTACATATGAATTTAAAAATCACATTGGCGTTTGGCGGGATTCGAACCCAGGAGGATCCCCTGAGCCACCGTCGCTCCAATACAAAGTCATTTTGATTTAATTAATTTTCAACACCTTGATTTCTTAATAATAGATGCAGTGAATTCTTCCAAAATCCGTAATATGTACTCAAGGATCGTAATCTACGTCCAAAAATGCAATCATGTATGCATAGTTATCCGACGTTCTTACTGGTTCTTACGGTTCAAGTAAACACTGTATATTGGTCGACGCCTATTGATGCCTATATCCAGCAGTAGGAACAGACTGGCAAATAACGAGGCGTGTAAGTTTTTTTAATATAAAATGCTCATAGTCAGCCATCTTACTAATATTATAAATGCGAATGTTTAGATGGATGGATGGATGGATGTTTGTTAGCGTTTGTAGCCTAAACGGTTGAACGGATCTCTATGAAATTTGGCACAGGTTTAGAGCATAGTCTGGAAGCACACATAGGCTACTTTTTATCCAGGGAATAGTTACGGTTCCCGTGAGATTCATTAATTTAGTTTTTTAATATTTACTCGATAATTCTGCAACGGTTCAACATATCTTATTGAAATTTGGCACAGATATAAAACAAAGTCTCGAGTACACATGGGATAAGCTTCATCCCCGAGAAATGTCCGGTTCCCGAGGGATACGTAACTTTTTTGTAATTTATATGGTTTTTATGTTTACTAATACCACGCGGACGAAGTCGCGGGCAACAGCTCGTATTACTATATTTTTAGCAATGTTTAACTTTATAGTAATAGTTTGGTACCTCCGTGAAGTTAGCCACCTCACTTTCTCTTTGTTTACTTTTTTTTATGCGAATCGTTTGAGAATCGTTAGAGAGGGTTTGAGAGAAAGCTACTTTCGTTTGAGAGTTCCTATTTTATCCGTAAAAGCAATTTCAATTTTTAGCGTGAAGTTGGCTCTCACACATCATTTTTTTAATCTTCTTTATGCAAATCGCTAGAGAATCGTTAGAAAGAAATTGAGAGGTAAGAAATATCGTTTGAGAGTTCTTACTTTTTTTGTAAAAAATATTAGAAATTTTGAAATCGATAACATTCGAATCGATTTTACTTTTCTCCGAATTAAAAATGAAAGCCATAGAAGGATCGAATTTTTCTCGTCGTTAGAGTATCGTCTGAGAATGATTGAGAGAAGAATAGAATCGTTTGTGAGTTCTTAGTTTTTCTGTTAAAATTTTTTGATTTTTAAGTCAATAACGATCGAATCGATTTTACTCTAATTCGAATTAAAAATGAATGTAATGAACTTAGAAAGATCAAATTTTTCTTGTCGTTAGATAACCGTCTGAGAATGATTGAGAGAAGAAAAAAATCGTTTGAGACTTCCTACTTTTTCTGTAAAAAAATTTTCGAATTTTTAAGTCGATAACATTCGAATCGATTTTAATTTTGTTCGAATTAAAAATGAAGATGATGGACTTAGAATGATCAAAATTTCCTCTTCGTTAGAGATTCGTCTCAGAATGATTGAGAGAAGAAAAGAATCGTTTGAAAGTTCTTAGTTTATTTGTAAAAAAAAAAATTAAGTTTCGAAGTCGTTACTAGTCGAATCGATTTTACTTTTCTTCGAATTAAAAATGAAAGTAATGGACCTACAAGTATCAAATTTTTCTCGTCATTAGAGAATCGTCTCAGAATGATTAAGAGAAGAAAAGAATCTTTTGAAAGTTCTTAGTTTATTTGTAAAAAACAATTATGTTTCGAAGTCGTTACTAGTTGAATCAATTTTAGTTTTCTTCGAATTAAAAATGAAAGTAATGGACCTAAAAGTATCAAATTTTTCTCGTCGTTAGAGAATCATCTCAGAATGATTGAGACAAGAAAAGAATCGTTTGAGAGTTCTTAGCTTTTTGGTAAAAAAAAATTAAGTTTTTAAGTCATTAACGATCGAATCGATTTTACTTTTCTTAGAATTATAAATGAAGACAATGGACTCAGAAGAATCAATTTTTTCTCGTCGTTAGAGAATCGTCTCAGAATGAATGAGAGAAGAAAAAATATTTTAAGAGTTTATCGACGAATCAAAAATGAAAGTGACATAGTATGACATCTACTTTTTGAGTTATGGGCTAACGGCCGGTCTCAATATGCAATTTTTTCAATCGAAAATCTCAATCCGTATCTTAATGTTTTGAAATACTGTCTCAATAAACGACCGAACGATAGAAATTCGATCTAAAAACATGACTAATCTATCGGAGGGAAAAATCTGATTTCTAA